ATATATATATATATATATATATATATATATATATATATATATATATATATATATACATATGTATACATATATTTTATATATGAATATCCATATACATATATATACTAATATACAAATATTCATGTATATATCTATATATGTATATATATAGATATATATACATATAAAATATATATATATATATTAAATACATATATACACTTTTCCTCAGAATGTATTGATAATATATTTGTTGCCCTTCAGTGGGGGCCTGTACGACAGCAGAGACACCCGATAGACGCAAGAAAACCCCTATACAGTTTGCTGCAGCTGTCCCCTTTTTGCTGCAGAGATGCTCTCTGGAGGAGACAGCCTTTGCGAGTAAGACATTGTTAGTGTTTAGGGTTTAGGGTTTAGGGTTTAGGGTTTAGGGTTTTAGTAGCAGCAAAAGAACAACAGAATCGATGTGAACAGGCACCTTACACGGTCTCTGCAGCAATAATGGCTACAGCAACAGCAGCAGCAGCAGCAGCAACAGCAGCAACAGCAGCAGCAACAGCAACAGCAGCAACAGCAGCAGCAGCGGCAGCACCAATCTAGCCCTTCTTCCTTAAACTTCTACCTTGCCGATCATCTGCACAAACAAGTTTATTAAAGAAGCACTCTATAACACAACAAAGTCCACCTAGCTGCAGTACATTTCGATAAACAACTACTAGGGGCCCCTAGGGGCCCCTAGGGGCCCCTAGGGGCCCCAGGGGGGCCCCCCTGGGGGCCCCCTTTAAATATAGGAGGGGCCCCCGTAGGGAGAGGGGCCCCCTATGGGTTTGCAGCAACTGTCTCTTCTTTTATAGCATTGTTTATTTCATTGCTGCTTAGGGCTAGAGGACAGTCAGCCGTCTTATATTTAGCAGCAGCAGCTGCTGCTGCTGCTGCTGCGGTTGTTGTTGTTGCTGCTGCTGCTTCTGCGGCCATGGGGGAGACTCGGCTGCTGGTGCTGCGAAGGCTGGAGGCTTACACACCAGCAGAGTCGGCAGCAGCAGCAGCAGCAGACTCAGCAGCAGCAGCAGAAGGATCAATAGAAGCGGCAGCAGCAACAGCAGCAGCAGCGACAACAGCGGACTGCGCTGCGGTGTATGTGCTTCCAGCCTGCAGAGACACCCCAGCCAACTTGCCTACAACGGAGGGGCCCTCTTCTGGTGTACGTACACCTCACGCTGCTTCTGTCTCCTCTGCACCTTCAAGCAAGACGGCGGCTGTAAGCAGAACAGCTGGCGTCTCCTTGTCTGCGGGCTCCTGCAGCAGCGACAGCAACACCAGCACCAGCAGCAGCAGCAGCAACAGCAGCAGGTGTTGTTGCTGCTGCTGCTGCAGCTGCGTAGTCAGTGTATACGCATGCATCCTCCACTCTGGCTGCTCTACGCTACAGTGCATGCGATGGGAAGGATTAAGACTGCAGCAGCAGCAGCAACAGCAGCAGCAACAGCAGCAGCAGCAGCAGCAGCAAAATGGTGTCCTTAGCGACAAGTGGTTCGTGGAGCTGCCTCCTCAGGCTAAGGGAAGTAGAGTGTCTTGCTTGGTAGGTCCTCTCCTAAACCCTAAACCCTAAACCCTCAAGCTTAAAACCCTAAACCCTGAAGCTTAAACCCTAAACCCTAAACCCTCAATGGTGGTTCGGCATAAGATGTTGCTGCTGGTGTTTCTGCAGCGATGGATTGAAATAGAGAGAGGATATCTGGGGCTTCTCGTTGGGACCTCTAGGTGCTGCTGCTGCTGCTGCTGCTGCTGCTGCTGCTGATCTTGATGCCGCTACGGCTGCTGTTGCTGCTGTAGGGGGTTGGTGGTGCTGTTGTTGCTGCTGCTTCTGGGGTGTTGCTGCTGCTTTAGTCGCGGCACTATTAGCGTCGGGTAGTTCCGTTGCTGCTGTTGCTGCTGCTGCTGTTGCTGCTGCTGTTGCTGCTGCTGCTGTTGCTGCTGCTGTTGATGGTGGGGCTGCTGCAAAATTAGGGGTGCAGGGAATCCCCTGCTGCAGCCGGGGGCTCTGCTGTTGCTGCTGACCCTGAAACCTCGTTGTTTGCTGCTGCTTCTGCTGCTTCTGCTGCTGCTGCTGCTGCTGCTTCGGTGCAGTGGCATGCTGTGTATGTACACCAGGGGAGGTGTCTCCTGCATCTGCTGCTCTTGGCTTCCCCTTCCTCTTCGCGACATCCAGCTGGTCAGCAGCAGCAGCAGCAGCAGCAGCAGCAGCAGCAGCAGTTGTGGCAGCAGGTGCAGCAGCAGCGATGACGACCGCGATCGCCCTGGCTGCCTGAGAGACTCTGGGTTTTTGCTGCTGCTGTTTGGAGACAACCACGTTGCTGCAGTTCATGTGGCTGACCTTAGAGCAGCAGCAGCAGCAGCAGCAGAGAAAGCAGCAAGAAGAACAGCCAAGGGCAAGGCCCCGCCCCACATTCTTGAGCACGAGATGCCTGCAGTACTGTCAATGTGCGCTGCTGCTGCTGCTGCTGCTGTTACTGTTGCTTCTGCTGCTGCTGCTGCTATTGCTTCTGCTGCTGCTGCTGTTGCTGGTGTTGCTTCTGCTGCTGTTGCTGGTGTTACTTCTGCTGCTGATGTTGCTTCTGCTGCTGCTGCTGTTCCATTTGCTCCTGTTGTTGTTGCTGCTCCCGCTGCCTTTGTTGCTGTTGTTGTTGCTGTTATTGATGCTGCTGTTGCTGCTGCTGTTGCTGCTCCTGTTGGTGTGGGTTGTATCTTGTTGCTGCAGTATGTGTACGTACACCGCAGGCTGGAGCGCCGGGGATCGACTGCTGCAGTAGCAGTTGCTGGTGCAGCAGCAGCAGCAGCTGCTGCTGCTGGGCCTACCCCTCCAGACGCAGCAGCCTCGAATGCGCTGCGTGAGCTGCTGCAGCAGTTGCAGGCGCCCACGGAGGAGCAACAGCAGCAGCAACAGCAGCAGCCGGAGACATGTGCAGCAGCAGCAACAGGTACACAAAGAGAAGACACTCAAACAACTCTTAGGAGAAGGGGCCCCCGCCATCAGCAGCAGTCGCTGTCTCCTTCGAGGCGCCTGTCTCCGAGTTCCAGTAGTCAGCAGCAGCAGCAGCAGCAGCAGCAGCAGCAGCGAGTGCTGCTGCTGGCTGCTGGAGCAGACCCGCTGCTGTCTCTACACCGTCTCTCTCTGGGGGAGACGGAGGAGACACCTCGCTTTAGCTTCTTTGCGGTTTCTGCTGCTGCTGCTGCTGGAAAGCTTGCTGCTGCTGCTGCCCGGGGGGCCCTCAGTTTCTTCAGAGGCAGTCCTGCGCAGCTGCCAAAGCAGCAGCAGCAGCAGCAGCAACAGCAGCAGCAGCAGCAGCAAAGCGACGGCTCTAGAGATCCCAGTGATGTGGAAGACCTCAAGATATGTACGTCTTGCTGCTGCTGCTTCTGCTGCTGTTTTTGCTGCTAAAGGATGGGGGCGGGGCCTTGCTGCTGGTGTTGCTCCTGCTTCTTCTTCTGCTGAGTCGGTGCTGCTGCTGTTGCTGCTGCTGTTGCTGCTGCTGTGCTGCAGCAGAGGCCCCTCTGCTGCAGGTTGGGTGGGTAGACAAACAGCGGGGGGCCCTAAAGCTGCAGATGTGCCCCTGGGATATGACTGTTGCCGCCCTAAGCGATTCCTTAGGCAGAGTACGTACAGCAGCAGCAGCAGGAACAGCATCAGCTGCTATAGCTGCTGCTGCTGCTGCTGCTTTTGATGTCGGCGCTGCTGCTGCTGCTGATGTGCTGCTGTTGCTGCTGTTGTTTCTAATGGTGCTGCTGCTGTGCTGTCGCTGATTTTGGCACCTGTGCTGCTGCTGTTGCTGCTGCTGTTGCTGCTGCTGTTGCTGCTGCTGTTGCCATTGCTGGCGGCGGTGCTGCTGCTATTGCTGCTTCTGTCGTTGCTGCTGTTTCGTTGCTCGCCGTTCATGCGGCGTTGCTGCAGCTGCTGCTGCTGGGCTGGGGTCCCGTTGCTGCTACTGACAGCCCACTTCTGCTTCTGTAGCAGACTTGATTTGCTGCAGCAGCAGCAGCTGCTGCTGCAGCTGCTGCTGCTGCTGCTGCTGCAGTGTCTCTACAGGGGGCGAGTGTATATTGTGTCTCCTTTTGGTGTGCATCAGGTGAGTGTTTTATGTGTCCTCTCTTTGCTGCCTCTCTGGATGCTGAAGGGCTACCGCAAGGCCTTCTTAGTTTGGCTGCAGCGGCCTTCTTTCGGGTGTATATACACCTCAGCTGCTGCAGCGCATGCACAAGCGCCTAGCGGGGGTCTGCTGGTCTTCGCCCCTAAACGAGGTGGGTTGCTGTTGCTGCTACAGCAACACGTTTGCTGCTGCTGCAGAGCTGCGGACAACACCCTGGGTGCCCCCAGGGGACCTTCAATGCCGCCGTTGTATCTCCTGCTTCTCTAGCTGCAGCAGCAGCTGCTGCAGTTGGAGACGCCCCTGCTGATCTTGCTGCTGCTGCTTCTGCTGCTGCACATTGTGATGTTTTTGCTGTTGCTGCTGCTGCTGCACATTGTGGTGCTTTTGCTGCTGCTGCTGCAGCAGCAGATTGAGGTGCCCTTGATGTCGCTGCTGCAAATTGGGCTACTGTGGCTGTTGCTATCAATCCTGCTGCTGCTGCTGCTGCTGCTGCTGTTGCTGCTGCTGCTGCTGCTGTGGCGTTAGGTTTGTTGGAGTTGTTTAGTGGGGCTTCCAAGGCGCGGCTGGCTGTGGCGCTGGATATACACCCCGAAGCCCTGCTGCTAGCATGTTGTGCTGCTGCAGCAGGTTGCTGCTGCTGCTGCTGCCAGCGCAGCAGCACCTTTTGCTTCGTGTTAGACACGCAGGGGCTTGCCCTTGTACAGTGGCCGCCAGGCCTTTAAGCCCCCTATTTATTCTCTAGGTTTTAGGTTTTAGGGTTTAGGGTTTAGGGTTTTTGTGCGTTTCACTGTTGGGGGTTTTCAACCCTAAACCCTAAACCCTAAACCCTAAGCGCACACAGGGAGGCTTTTAGTCCTTTTCTTTGTGTAACTCTCTAAGGTTTAGGGTTTAGGGTTTAGGGTTTAGGGTTTAGGGTTTAGGGTTTAGGGTTTAGGGTTTAGGTTTTAGGGTTTAGGGTTTAGGGTTTAGGGTTTAGGGTTTAGGGTTTATTCTGTTCAGTCTTTACGTTGGGGAGGTGCAAAACCCTTTTATAAGATAAAACCCTTTTATTAAATAAAACTCTTTAATTAAATAAAACTTTTTAATTAAATAATAAACCTCAGTTAAATAATAACCCTTAGTTAAATAATAACCCTCACTAATAAACCCCTTATCATATAATAACCCTTAGTTAAATAATAACCCTTAGTTAAATAATAATCTTGTTAATAAACTATTATTATTAATTTATTATTATTAGATAAAGCACTCTAATTGGGTAAGACAATCTTATTAAATAAAACTCTCCTATTAGATAAAACACTTTACTTAGATAAAACCCTTTAATTAATAAACCCTATTTATTTTTATACTTAATAACAAAACCCCTATAAAAAGTCTTATCTTACCCGATAATAAACCCCCTACATATATAATATATATATATAATATATATATAATATATAATATATAATATATATATATATATAACAAACAAAATGAACAAAACCCTAATTTTTATTATAAAACAGCTATAAAATAACTATAAAATAATTATAAACTAATTATAAACTAATTATATAATAATTATGTTTATTAATTAAAACATCTTTATTAAACAAAACCCTTCGGCTTTATTGTTTTTAGCAATCCATCCTCCAGCATACAAACGTAAGGGGGGCCCCCTGGGGGCCCCAGGGGCCCCCCTGAGGGGCCCCCAACGGGGCCCCTCTTAATAAAGCGTATCTACGTAGTTAAGATATATAATAATACCATTTTTGAGGTTATTAATAGCATCAATGAGCTGCCTATACACCTGAATCTGTTGTTAGAGCCGAAGGGCGGGAGGGGCCCTTCGCCAGCCAGTGAAGATGGGTTTCAGCAACAAACAAGCTGCTGTTGCTGCTGCTGCAGCAGCAGCTGCAGCAGCTGCTGCTGTGGCCTACTATATTTTTAGGGCCCGAAGACTCCACTGCAGCAGCAGTAGCAATATTAACAACAGCAGCAGCAACAACAGCAACAACAACGGCAGCAGTACCAGGAGCAACAGCAACAGCAGCAGCAGCAGCAGCAGCAGCAATAACAGCAGCAGCAGCAGCAGCAGCAGCGTTGGGGTGTATATACACTTCGGGTCGGAGACAGGGACAGCCGAAAGCGTAAGCGAGTTGGTAGCCTCCTCTCTTCGTGCTTTGCATGCGTCTCCAGCTGTCTCTGTCTCTGATTTAGAGGTAAGAAGGAGACACCTTGTTGTTATTACTATAAAAGTAGGAGTATATAATAAGGAGACAGCAGCAGCAACAACAACAACACCAGCAGCAGCAGCAAAATCAAATGCAGCAGCAGCAATATCACCAGCATCATTAGCAGCATCATCCATAGCAACAGCAGCAACAATAACAGCATCAGCAGCAACAAAAGCAGCAGCAGCGCCAATACCTGCATGATCAGCAGCAAAAGCAGCAGCTGCTGCTGCAGCAAGTAGACAATGGGTTGTACTTATCTTGCATGCGTTTGTCTATCATCTGCCCTTAGGATTTCTGTCCTGCTACTTTTCTGCTGCCTCCTGCTGCACTCAAGGGGCCCCCAAATGTGGGGGGGCCCCCTCAAGGCGGTGCCTTCCAAGGAAAGGGGGGCCCCCAGGGGGGCCCCCAAGGGGGCCCAGGGGGGCCCCCCGTTCAGAGCCCCCCTGGGGGCCCCCATGGGGCCCCCTGGGGGCCCCCAGGGGCCGAGGGGCCCCTCCCTTTGCGTGTGTTGGTGCTCGCAACCCACGGCGAAGGAGAGGCAACAGCAAGCGCGCAGCAGTTTGAAGACTGGGTAAGCTGCAGCTGCTGCTGATGCTGCTGCAGCTGATGCTGCTGTGCAGCAGCAGCAACGCAGCAAATGTAGCTGCAGCAGCAGCAACAACAACAAATGAATTATCGGCAGTGTATATACTACAGAGCTACTCTTTCCTATAATAGCTGCGGCAGCACCTGCCTTGTTGTTACTGCTGGTTTGTTGCTGCTGCTGCTGATGCTGTGCTGCTGCTGCTGCTGCTCCTTTTGTGTGCTGCTGCTGCAGCTGAAGGGATTATGCAAGTGGCTGCGGCAGCTGCATCTTCAGGCCGTACAGAGGCAGGATTATGCTGCTGCGGTGTCTCTGCTGCAGCAGCGGTCAGCAGCCGTCCAGCAGCAGCAGGACCAACAGCAGCAGCAGCAGCAGCAGCAGCAGGAGCCTGTGTTCCTGTGTGGGGTGTTCGCTGTCTTAGGACTCTGCAGCAGCAGCTACCCAAGCACATACAATGCGATGGCGTCGCGCACCCACAGGGCCCTGCGGAAGGCCTGCCGCGTGCAGCAGCAGCTGCACGAACTAGCTGCAGACAGCAGCAGCAGCAGCAGCAGCAGCAGCAGCGGCAGCGGTAGCGGCAGCA